GTGTTTGGGGGGGGGGGGGTAGGTGGCTGCGCATTACAGGCGGGAGATGATAAATTGGTGCGTAAACCTAGCACTGTCAGTGGGTTGTCAAATGGGGATTGGGGTTGGAAAAGGAGCTATGCATTGAAAGCAATAGATTGGGTACACCAACGCCATTGAGGGCGCGACTGGGCCATGTCTGACAATGTCTCTAGCCATTGATGTGGCCCGTCTCGGGGTCCCCATCCAGGAAGGCGGCAATGACCAGCGCAGTTGCGTTTGCTGGTAATGGCTTTTATACTTCGCTGCCAAGTCATTGTGGGACTGCCTCGCCCTCTTCCACCCTTCACCTGGTTGTGTGAAAAGAACCCTTTGGGGAAGTCGGTTGACTGGTGTACGCAGCACGTGGCCAAGCCAGCGCAACATCAATACAGAGGGGATCCAGTTTACGAGCAAGATCCACCCGTTGATCTGCTCGCTTCAGTGTGCGAACATTGAAGGTGGCTAAGTAGGCAGGGTTTCGGGGTTTGAAAACAGACTTCGGAGTGTTTAGGTTTGTGACTGAACCTAGACGTACAGAAGCTGCAGCTGAGTGTGATTCAGGGCAAGCAAAACGGTCAGTCCTAGAGCTGGGACCTGCGGATAAAGTATTCAAATTTGGGTGGGGAAGGGTGGAAGACGGAAAACGTGGAAGTGTAAGAAGGCAGGCGTCAGCAGTAGCATGTTTTCGCTTACCCGCCCTGCTGTATGCAGCAAGTAAGGTGACCCGGCCGATGGCACCACGTGACGGCTGATGTGACATGAGGGTATTGTTATTTGTGAATGTCATGGTTGTACGAGGGCTGGGATACTTCCAGGGTGCATGCTCCCTTACCCATGCTCCCATCTATATGGACTACTTGGCACGTTCTGAATTAGGGAATTGCAGACTTCATGTAGGAACCCAGCGCATGAGTTTCAGTCATCGTGATTCATATCCGACAACCAGGTTCTGAACGCAATGTCTTATGGATTAAGTCACTGTATTATAAGATGTCGGGCGTTACTTCGCCCGAATTCACCACATCAAGTGGTGAACTCTCCAACTTCGTCATTGATACGATTATGGAAGACTCATTACCAGCCTCTAATCCGTGCGGGGTCGAAGTTCTTCCGGGGCGTCCGCCCACAGATATCGAGTATGCAGATGACATAGCTCTTCTTGGATCTGATGTCTTGATAATGCAAACAATCTTAAATAAATTGAATTTAAAAAAATTAGGGAAAATTAAATAAATTAATAATCGGTTCACACGATCGATGTCTTTGGAGCATTGCCCGAGTCTGGTGGGAACATCGGATCAGCATTGCCTAAGTACCTCGAATGGTATTTGGAAGAAATAGCTCGCCCACGCGAGATGAACTGGTCACACGGGATAGGCTGCGCTGACTTGGCTACGTACTCCGTATACATGTCGACCGAATTCCTCGAAGAGTTCTCTTTGCAGAACCACACAAAGGGTGGAAATGAGCCAGGGTCAGATAATGGCTTGGCAGCGAAGTGTGAAAGCCGTTCCCAGCAAACTCAGCTGCGATGGTCATATCCGTCTCCCTGGATGGGGGAATGCGATTGCATGCTTACCCGCCACAACCACTCACCGGGGATT